GTTCCAGGTAAGCTATAAATTTTATGGGTACTTTTAAGGGTTCAAACGGCGCATCGACGAAGCTAGTGTGTTCGAAAGCAGCGGGATCCCCCTCGGTCACACGTTGACCCCGAAATTTTTCCACGCTCTCATACCGTCGGGAGCCTGGGGCAGTAGCTAGTGAATAGCTGGATATGCACAGCCTGACACCGGCTTTATGGTTATTGTATCTGCCTATGCCATCATATACTAACATTTATACATATAAATCGTCCGGGAATTCGCAACCACTGGAGCGCTCGCATCTGGAGGCGATATAGAGACGTGAAGCGCGTTTGGTATTGGGTGGAACGAATAACGCACGGTAGACTACAACAAACGGCAAAATTTCTTACGACAAAAAACCGCACAATTCATTGATTCCCGTAGATTATCTGTCGATCTTGATATGTATCATATTTCCAATATAATTACAGATGTGATCTACTGCTCGCCAGCTCTTAGATGCATTCAGACGGCGTATGCCGTTAAACAAGTAACCAAATGTAAAGCCCCAATAAGGTTAGTGATTGACTTTCTTGCAAACTCATCAAATTTTTGAAGCTGGTATTCTGCAAATGCTCTCCCTTTATGGACCTTAGCTGTTTCAAAGAAAGTCGACAGCTGAAGCTATATGTTATCCTTACCATGGGGAAGGCATCCTTCTCCTGCGATGCTCTCCCGGGTCATAGATCCCGCCATACCTCTCTACCCTTCTGACACTCAGAGTGAGAGTTAGAGCAACGCTACCCCTCCAAGAATAGAGTGCTTGAAAGGAAAACGTTTCTACAGCATCAGCCGTTGAATTAGGAGTCCAACAGCAAAATCCTGCCTCTCCTCCCCAGACTGAGGGAGGACTGTTGAGTCCAAGCAGGGTGAATAGATGGCTCTGTGTGTCAGAATGTGTCAGAATAGAGTCGAGAGTGAATGCAGGCGCCGAGAGCGCAGACGGCTCGCGCGTGGCGAGAGTGAATGTCGCGCGGGAGAGAGTAACTGAACAGGCAAAAATCCTCGACGAGCCGTCGACGAATCCTCGACGAATTTCACCCTGCCCAAAGCAATCGCAGTTTGCGTGGTCCACAAAACAAACCTCGGCCGCACGTCACAGAAGGTATTACAGGCACAATCCCCAGAATTAGCACTTCGCACTAAAGAAATACTTCAGAGCTATCAGCGGCTATAGCTCGCCCGGGATTCGCCTGGAACCTTTCTTCTGTAGAGCAGCTGAACCGATAAAGGAAAGGATAAAGCATTTGCCGTTGATCAATCCCTTTTTGGGATGCGGCACGCATTCTACTTCCATTTGTACATTCGTAGTGGCGTTTGAATGCGATGTGGCCTATACAATGACTTGCGGGGGCCAGCCGATGTTCAAGTCAGTGTTTTTATCCTCCCAGACAATTAACCGACCCCGGAGGGATGGAAGGCTTGGTTGGCCCGGGCGACTCACGACCCAGGATTTGATCCCGGACCGCTCGCGTGGTGAGCGCGCCACTTGTCACTACACCACTTCCGCCCTGCGTAATAAGTAATATTTTTAAAAATACACCACCGTTAGGCGAATTTATTTATGATCCATAACTGTGCGCATAAACTTGTGCAGTTTTGCAAATATGGTCTTTTTTCGGCTTACAAAGTGGATTTTCTCGTGGGACATAATCGAAGAGAGCAACAGTCGTGAGATAACTGAATGATTTCAGAGTAGAACCCGGATTATTCGAAAGCTTCAACAATTATCCGATGGGCCTGCCGGAATTTGCAACTCCGCAACAACGAGCTCAGTTTAATGTTGATGAGAATTACACGCCTCATACTAAACTTGAAGATGTGGGTTCAGGCCACAATTTCTTGAAGGCAGCGGTCACGATGGCTGAGCATCGTAAGGCTCTGCCGGTCTTCTCCGCGCGTTAGGCAGGACTCCACAAGAATCAGATGGATGAACTTTTTGCCGGTGCTTCGACGTGCGCTCACGCAACTCCTCTCATGTGCCTCTGATCCTTACGGCCATGCGTATATGACTGTTTTCGCAGACCCGCCTGTTCCCTGGAGTCACAGGCCGCGGACCATTCTTAAATAAGAGAGTAGTGAGAGCCAGAGTCACCGCGTTGGACAAAAGTCCAACGAAGGTGGGGTCGTATGTCGAGTGGAAAAGGGGGTCGCATTTCGCGAGGTAGCGTCAAGATTACAGTAAGGGAGTTTATGTTTTTTATGGAACGGATAGTGGATTCTTGTAGACTGGGCTTTTGTGTTGATCGACGGTAATTTTGGAAGGAAAAGTGTGCGGAGGGCAGGTCCTAAAATTCTCAGACATCAGTCCTAACGTGTACGGTTGACCTATCGGTAGAGCGCCCCTGACAAAGTGATTCTAGGCGCTTCCTATTGATGAACGTGTCGGCAATTCCTAATACGTGCCTCAGCTATCGTTACCTGCTGTCTGCTGGAAAAAAGTAAAATCTGAGTTCTAGATTTATTACATACTTTATCCAGAATACAGCCTCGACAAGTCCACTTTTCATCATCACTGTTTTAACAACTGGGAGAGGGGGGAGGGGTTATGACAAGTCCTCCCAAAGTAAACGCACAAAGTTGATGCGCGCATTCCGCTCTGCGAAAATTCGCATTTGTTGTCCTAAGCGACCCATACAACAACTAGTCATGTTGGACTAGAGCATTCCTTCAGTTAGCTTCTACAGCCTGATTCGTATAAGAGGTGCAGAGGCTTTTGCCAATTTCAGATGATCTTAACGTCACAATAGTTGGGGCTAATGTTGCCACTATTTTGGCACTACCACAACCCCATGATCTCAATTTTTTCATCGTCCAAATTTCGCCCACAGGGAAGATTCAATGCTCTTATTACAAAAATGGCAATTGTATTCAGCGCTGGTGCCTTTGGCGCAAGTTGGCGCCACTTTGTCATCGGCCCTCTTCAATAGATCATCTATGAACTTCTATTGAGGGGCTATTTGAAACCCCGATTACGGATATAACTCATTCTTAGCTCCATTTGACACCTATCTTCTGCCCTTTCACTGATTAGATCTGGTAGATTTGGGGAGGAGGAGGGCTGCGAGGTGAGTGGGCTACTTACCCTGTGACATCACACACTTCGACTTTTGCCGCTTTTCCGTTCACCTACCTTGGAGCTTCCACTCCCCTGAACTTCAGCCCCAGGCACTATGAGTGGGAAAGTAGAAAATATGCGATAATCAGCGTCAATGTCAGAAACGAATGTCCTATTTGCAATCACGACACCAAATAATCCTTGCACAGAAGCCTATACCGAATATGGTGAAGACAGCCGTCGTGACCAAGTGGTGCCAACTGGCGGTGAATGAGCCGGCGCCAAAATAACGCCATTTTTCAATCAGGGTATCGGTTTTCCCTTACATTTATGGCAAAGTTTCGACGAAAAATTGATTTCGAGATTTCAGGGTTGTGATAGTCGATTAGTACCCGGATCTTTGATCCCTCATCATGCCCACTCACCTAGCGGGTAATTTTTAATAAATAAACGTATTTGCAGTTGACGTGCTGCAAAAATGAGACAAACGATGATTACAATACCCGCGTTCGCCACTCACTGATTCGCATCTCTAAAATCCACGAAATTAGTTCTTCGAAAAAGGATCAGCTTATACTGGTATGTGCCATTCGCTCTTAACTCGTTTCATTTTCATTGCTTCAAATTGCTTTCTTGTCCTTAAATAAGCATTAGACAAACGCGCTCACCGAAGCGTGTCTTTGCGACCTGCCTTTTCAGTGTGCTACTTGACGAGATCACTCAAACTATTGCTAAGGAAGGATTGCACGTAGGATTGGAGATCGATGAAGGGGAAGTAGACCAAGTGAAAAGGCAAACGGGCCAAGGGTGCACTATGACGCGCGTTTTCCAGCGAAGGGTAGGCTAACAGGGCCGTACCCGCACCGCTAACCTCGTTCCACTCCCATCGCTTGGTTGACCCTCGCCATCTGGCTCTACCCGTTCTACAAGAGAATGAGCGTTGTTTTTGTTTGTTAACTGCTGTTTTTGGCCGCAGTTCGCCTTGCGAATGTTTCACAAGAATGCTGGGTTGTGAACAAAACTTTCGCCCCAGGCGGGACGGGCGACGGACTTTTGGTGCGTCCGGGGTTGCACGCGGCGAATCGCGCGGCGGGCTGCGCGGCGATCCGGACGAGGCAAGTCTTCGCGGGCTCCTGCAGTGGAATTCAACACGTCAGAACGTGTGCAGATCGCGGATAGAATCCACAAGGTTCTGCTTTGAAAGAAACTTCCCACTCGCGGAGATCGGTGAAATGCAGCGGTGTCAGTGA